ACAGTGATAACTAGAAAACTCTGAAATAAGAAGACAATTTTTATAATCAATTTTTAATTTGAAATAGTCCAATGAGCATATGACACAGCTATTGCGCTGTGTGAACAGGCCCATTTCCCTTGATTAGCGATTCAATAAGTGTTTAGCCTTAAAACTAATTGCTTAAGTATTGCTATAAAGTCGTCTTCCTATTTCAGAGTTTTCTGGTTATCGCTGTATGAACACTGAACAATGGGACTTGTAAAGTTGTAGGACTGTGGAATAAGAAGGGGACTGTAAGATTCATGTTAAAGTTATTTGTTTTATAACAACTTACACAAAAGATTGTTCAAATGTCGTCTTCCTACTACGAATTTTAGGAAAACTGTATAATATGTTGGCTCTCATTACATTTTGCAACGGAAAAATTATAGACAAGAACTAAAAAGTCTAGTCAATTCGTTTTTAGGATTTATTTTAGATAATATTTGTATATTTTATAAAGAACAATAAGAAAAAGGGTAAAAGAAGACGACATTTCTCAATATCTCCTCAAATCTGTATTAAACTATAGATTAAAAGGGAAGAAAGGAAAATACATAGTATATGATGTATATAATATCTTCTACATATATACTTTGCTTGTCTGGGCGTTTGTTTGGGTGTCCGTCCGTTTGTGTCCAATAAACGTCAAAACGGCTTAACCGATCGGACCATATGCACATTTTTAGTGGGACCTCGCGTGACCCCGGCCAGGGAAGGATTATGGATGATCGATTTTTTCAAAATTTGCCTCCATCAAAATTCTATTTTTAAAAATGTTGGAAATCCACGAAGTTTTTATATAATATCCGCGAAATATTTTGTTTGTATTTGTTTTACAATACCCACAATTGTCACATAGAGAACATGTTCACAATGGATATGGAAGCGCCCTATTAGCCTACTGTTCTATTATACTAGCTGGGGTGCCCAACGTTGACCCGTAAAATAAAAATAAATCGAATTTTGAAAAAAAAATCTATTAAAAAAAAATTTCGAATTCATTAGCCTTTATATATATATATGAGCAAAGAGCTTTATTATATAGATAAACAGTGGAATTATTGATAGTCGTCAAAAAAAATTTAACTATGTCTAGCTATAATGTATAAATATGAATATCTATATATATATCTATGTTTATCTATCTATGCCTTTGTATATCTATGCATATCTATGTATATCTTTGTATATACATTGGATATATATATAAAATAAAACTTCAAATCATGTTTTGAATATTTATTTTCTTATAAAAATATATATATATATAAATATATATATATATATATGTATCTCTATGTATTAATCTATATCTATGTATATTTAAGTATTTATATATCTATATATATGTATTGTGACAGTCTATGATCAGTAACCATGACAACCCTACTCCACCTGGTCTACTATACAGTCTACAGTCTCCTACAGTAATCTCAGTAGGCTACATTACATTAGCATCTACACTCAACTAAAGTCAAACCTATAAAATTGTGAATAGTTCAATGAACATATAGAACAATGAATTTTGAAGTGTCAGCAGACTTTTTTTGCAATTAGTTTATTTTGAAGCTTCTAGTGTGATTATTGGTTTACAAGTCCTAATGTAAAACATCCACATTTTGACGCAAAAAATCAATCAAAATACCCCCGTGTCTATAAAAGCAAGCTCTTTTTAAAATAAATCGTGTTTTGGTGTCTAGAATAATCTTTAAATCTATACAGAGATGGAATTTAAAGAATTTGAGCCGTGGTTTAAATCCGCCAAAACCCGGTTTAAATTAAGCGCCGGCTTAAATCTTGAAACATTTGATACAATTTTAAGTGGAATCAACCATATTTACACCGCGGCTTAAATTTAAACCGCCGCTCAAATTCTTTAAATTCGGCCACTGATGAGGTTAAAGTGACAGCTTGTTGTGACAAGGTCCGAACTGTTGAATCAGTGTGGATTACTTTACAAACTTTTAAAAAAATGCACATATACAAGATTTTATCTTTCATCAAATTCATCAAAATAATTTCTTTATCAAAAAAGTAATGAGTTTTTTACGACGACAAATAGAGTTTTAAAAATACATAAATTTTCTTCTGCATTAAATATGTCACAAACAAGAGTATACAAATACAATGATGCAACAAAGAAGTTATTAAAGTGAATCATTCTGTATAAAATTAAAGCTGCACATCAAACTAAACTAAACTCAAAATTTCGTGTAAAATTGAAATTTTTTTAAAGAGCTATTGAGAAGAACATCATTTTTTAAAATTACCTATAGTACGTTACCCAACAAAAGCACTTTTATCATACGAGGTGTGATCAATAAGTTTCGCTAAAATTTCAAGTCAAATCCCGGTGTAATTTTTTTTGAAAGTTCACTATATTTATACCGGATTATTGTTTAGATAAGTTGATGTCAATCAGATCTTTGTTGTAATTTAAGGATTGTTCTCCCGAAAGTAATCAGCTTCGTTCTTCACAGCAAGAAAGTTTTCATAATGTTCTCAAACTTGATCCACCAGAGTCTGCTTTAGACCCTTAAAGAGCGATTAAAAGAAAAAAGAGATTGAGTACATGATAACAAGAAAATTCTGAAATAGGAAGACGACTTTTAAACTCAGTTAGGACTTCAATTCTTCAGTTAGTTCAATGAACATTATTGACATAACAATTGTACAGTTTAAATAGACCATTTTCACTTAAATTAAACCTACTAGTAAAAATATTTGCTTTGTAACAACATAAAAACGCTTAAGTATTTCTATAATGTCGTCTTTGTATTCCATTGTTTTCTGTTGTTACTATATGAGTATTGAATGTATCGTTAGACTTTTGAGGATCACGAGGGTATTTCACAATTTCGAGAACAAATTATATTCTAGTTTTCATTTATAATAATTCCCATCCCTCTTCTTCCCGTTGTTGAATTTGCATACAGTTTAAACCTTTATCTGCAGCTGTTTTGATTTACATTTAGAATCCATGATCACTGAATGCCCAAGACTTTGGGACAAATTCAACCCAGATCTTTGTCATTTTTAAATCTTGCTTTACAACTTTGCTTACAATGTAAAAGCATATATCAGGCTGTCTGGCAAACATACTTCTTTAACCCTTACTCATATGGTTTGAATAATTTGCAATATTTTCTACTATTTTTTGGTCTTGATGCTCTTTTCCCGCCAGGACATGTCATAATTCTTTAACTATTCATTCCTTTATAAAAAGCTGTTTTTTTGGTATGCAACCATTTTCATTTAATCCCGCCGGGATATTTTCATTGAAAGATACTTTGAAAATCTACAAAGGCAAAAAAAATCCGCAAAATCCGCAACCCCTCGGGTTTATCATTGAATCCCTCGGGGGTTTAAATTTCCATTGATTCTTATTTGTCTGAGAGTAAATGATACATTTTTTCTTCTTCACCTCATTAAACCATCATTAAAGTTCATAAATTCGTTCAGGATCATGTTTATGGATTCGGCTTCGTTTTTGCATCGTCTAATAAAAACAAATTTATGGTAAACGAGCCTTCTAAAGTGTCTACTTTCTCTAGTCGATATTCTAGACATTCCTTTGCTATGACAACGAAGCTGATCCATCTTTGGGAGAACATTTCTTACATCACATCAAAAATCTGCTTGACGTCAACCTGACCAAAAATGTATCTGATACAAATATTTAGTTAACTTTAAAAAAACTTAGAGCTGAGACTTCTAGAAGTACCCCTTAAGAAAGGTTTAGCGAAACTTATTGATCGTATTTGTGCGAAAAATTAACTAAAGGAACTATATGAGGTCACAAAGTCGTAGCAGTTCTCATAGATTTTACCTTTACCTTCTGTCTAGCGGAGTGAGAATCAGTGAACAAAACTCTAGCCTTCGTTCGAAAGATTTTTTGGGGTAGCCTTGCATGGTTGATTTTAAGTTAACCCTGCTAATGGTTGATTTTAACCCTGCTCATGGTTAATTTTATCCCAGCTCATGGTTGATTTTAACCATGCTCATGGTTGATTTTAACCCTGCTCATGGTTGATTTTATCCTTGCTCATGGTTGATTTTAACCCTGCTTATGGTTGATTTTATCCCTGCTCAAGGCTGATTTTATCTGAGCTTTTGGTTGATTTTACACCTGCTCATAGTTGATTTTATCCCAGCTCATGGATGATTTTATCTGAGCTTTTGGTTGATTTTACACCTGCCCATAGTTGATTTTATCCCTGCTCATGGTTGATTTTATCCCTATTCATGGTTAATTTTATCCCTGCTCATGGTTAATTTTATCTCTGCTCATGGTTGATTTTATTCCCGGCTCATGGTTGATTTTATTCCTACTCATGGTTGATTTTAACCCTGCTCATGGTTGATTTTATCCCAGCTCATGGTTAATTTTATCTCAGCTCATGGTTGATTTTACCCCTGCTCATGGTTGATTTTTTCCCTGCTCATGGTTGATTTTATCCCAGCTCACGGTTGATTTTACCCCTGCTCATGGTTGATTTTAACCCAGCTATATTGGTTGATTTTATCCATGCTCATAGTTGAATTTATCTTTTAGAATACATTCATAAATATAAACGCACCTTTTGATCAAATAAAATAATTTTAAAATAATTAAAATCTTTTATTAAAAATCTTATTTTATTTTATTCAAATAATTGATAAATGCTAATTAATAAGTAATAAGGAAGTGGAGAGACAAGTAGTAAAAAATTAATGTTATCAAGGCATACAAAAAGTGCAATTAATTTGAAAAATGAAACAGTTGTAACTTGTAACCAACCATAAATATTAGATTTAATAAGAAAATTTAAAAATAAACGAAGGATGAATTAAGTTAGAGTCTTCCTTCTTTTTTTTTGCATTTTTCGGTATTTGGTGAGATTGATTTAAAAAAGTCCTCTGATCGTGTATTATAATTAAATTTCAAAAGGGTCCTGTCAAAATCACTTATTGTTTCTGTAGCAGAATTTTTTATAGTCACTGTCGTCGAGAAATCACAAGTAAGAAAATATGGATATTTCATTCATTTAAAAAGAGACAAATCTTTGAATGTAATCAGGTATGCCCATTAATAAATAAAAAATGTCATGACTTTGTATGTATTGAGACAATTTATAGGCTCTACTTTTGGCTTGATTTAATTGCATACTTACATGCATTGTTTTTCAGCTGTAATGAGTTGTATCTTAAATTAAACCTTGAATCTAATCTATAAAAAACCTTGCTTTTCCGTCAGATTTTTCAACCGTGACAGTTTCTTATAAATGGACACAGCACAAGGTTTTTAAGACCTGATTCCACACACAGTTTAACATAGTAATTATAGAGGTAAATGTTAATCCATTTTAATCTTATCTGTATTTATTTCTAATATTTTTACCAGAAGGAAATAAATTTAAATAAATATGTATATAAAAATAAATAAAAACAATATTTTTAAACAACATATGTTAATTATTTGTTTGTTTTATTTCGCTCTCAAAGGAAACATTCCTTTTTAAAGTAAATCTGTTTTTAAAAAACAATTCTTGTAATTCACTTTATATTTAATTCTGGCTGTTTTCTCCCTTCTTTTAAAATTTAGGATAATTCACATTTTATTCGTTTAAAGTATATTGGTTTTATTTAACGCTACATAAAATTCAGGATCCCTCCCTTTTAAATCGTTTAAAGAACATCTGTTTTTATGAGATGAAATAACTCATTAATCATATGAATTTTACTATGGGAATTTTGTGGTTTTTCGTTGTTTTTGGTTTAAATCTTTGAGAAGGAAACATTCGTTGTTCAGCAGAGTACATTGTCAAGTAGGCTAAATGCAAAAATATTAGAATGTCAAATGCCAAATGATCAAAAATCTATGGACGGTAAACAGTTTGGACAACTATTTTTTTCCTCAAAAATATCATACAATTTTGCAATAAAGTTAATTTTAAAGTTTAAGGTGTTCTTAAACATATTTTTATGATAAATCGTCTGTAAAATGCAAGCTCTGTCTTTCACGCAATCTATTTTTTCTTCTTTCTCTTCTCTTCTATTTTCTTATCTTCTCCTTTCTTCTCTTCTTTTTTCTTCTCTTCTCTTCTCTTCTCTACTCTTCTGTTCTCTTATCTCTTTTCTTCTCTTCCATTATCTCTTATCGTCTCCTCTTTGTTTTCTCTTTGTACTTGACCGGTTTTGAGATGAACAATGCAGTACGATCCGTTGTTTACATTTTACATGTTGTTTACATTTCTAGCTTGTAGACCTAATTGAAATGTAATGCGTTTGTACTCCATAATTAGGCATTTGATCATTTGACATCTGATATTTTGATATTTTTTCGGCTAAATTATTTTTTTGTCTAGAAAACTATATAAAAAATAAAATGCGAGTTTCCTATAAAGATTACATTTAAGAACATTTTACTCCAAACGTTTCAGATCTTTGCAAATTATGAATATCAACTTTTGGGTAGAGAAAACTTACGTTAGATTTTTTTTGATTTCAATGATAAAGAAGAGCTAATATTTACAATCAAAATATTAAAAAAATCTAATGAAAGTTTTGTTGAAAAATACAGAATTAATGATGGTTTTGCAACTCTTTCAAGTGGAAACCAAAACACATTCTTTGTAATACAGAAAATAGAGATATTCAATCATATTTAATAAACATGAAGTAAATTTGCGTTGTTTTTGGGTTTAAAATGAAGAACATCAGCGAAATTAGATTTGTATAATAAACACATCACATGAAGTAAATTTTCTTTGTCATGTTCTCTTATTATAGTTCTTAAAAAAACAGTTCGAATTTTTCATATTTTTATACTTTTAAATCATAAAACTTTAGTTGGATTATAAACCAAAAGTAGAAAATAAAGTGAAGGCTAATAAATCTAGTTTTTATGAAGTTGATATTCTACTTCACGTCAAAATAAAATACAGAAGACTAAAATCTTTTATGTTTTCAATCATAAATCATCTTTTTGAAGAACTATTTGGATTCAAGGAAGAACAACAAAGTTTCAAATTTAAAAGAAAATAAATTTGGGTTTCTCATACCTAATAAACAAGCTACGAAGTCACAAAACCGTTCCTGTAATTTTGCATAAATTAAACATTTTCCTTTGTCTAGATAAGAGTAACTTAAGAAAATTTAAGATCAGCATTTATCTTTTGCCTAAGGCCGAATTTGAGCCGCAGCTTAAGTTTGAGACGCGGCTCAAATGTGGCTGGTTTCACTTAAAATTGTATTCAATGTTTCAATATTTAAGCCGGCGCTTAATTAAAACCGGTTTTTGGCGTATTTGATACGCAGCTCAAAATAAAATTCATTAAATTCGGCCTCATGAGTTTTTTTGCGGTACTTTTCTTTTGAATATGATCGCCCACGACAATTTAATATAACAAGTAGCAAGTCTACATAAGATTAATACTAGAGTTAATCCAAGTTTTATTGTCATAATTTAAATTCATGCCTCAGCATTATATGTTGATTTCTCCGTGGTTCTGCTTGATTAATTAAACTGGACTAGAGGTATTGACTAATCCATTAATTAATTTCATAATCCTTCCATTCATCTATCTATTCATCAAGGCTTCCGGTTTCCGGCCTTTCTAAATACTATGTACAGTGCTTAGTTCCGGTAGGATGAAACTTGAACTAATGTTTCAAATATTTTCTAATTCATGAATCAGATTTTTATTTCCGATTTGTAAATTGTTTAATTCAGACTTTTAACTTTAATTTTCCACAAATTGTTTATCCGATGAGGAGCAATTTTTAGTTTAACCATTTTATACCCTCCAACATTTTCCTGCTTTCTTGTTTTCTCCCCCATCTCGTTTTTCTCCAACGTCTTGATAGTCAATCTTGTTTTTTTCATAAAGATTTTTTCATTGCCTTATTTAATTTTTATATTGTATTTCATTTTTTAGATAAAATGTATGAAAAAAGACGATTCTCTTGGAGTAAGAATGAATGAACAATGAAATATTGTTTTCTCCTTCTCCTAAATCTCCTCCTAGCCCCCAGAGTACAGGGGATACAAGAAGGGAGGAGAGGGGTTCTAGTCCTCTTGGAGACTGGAGATTGTGAAGGATGTGATGAGAAGGATAGAGGAGAAGGATCGAGGAGAAGGATAGAGGAGAAGGATCGAGGAGAAGGATAGAGGAGAAGGAGAAGAAGGACGGGTTCAATGTGTACCCAAAGTACAATCTCCGTCTCTGGCTGTGGAATGGACGGTTCAACGTATTCAACTCCTTTCCCTGTCAAAACAAGAAATAGGTGAAGAAAAACAAAGGATCGAAGATGATATTTCAAGATATTTAAACCTTTAACTGAACAAGGATAACCGTCTTTACCACGAACTCTGATTTTTCTAATATGGATTCTGGTAGATCAAGTAATCTAAGTTTCAAATATAAAAGGACTATTTCACAAAGAATTATGTAAATCAATCAATATTTTTTTGGGACTCTACCTGTCCGATGGTGTAAGGGCTGTATTTAACGGTTTAACACAATACTGATCAAGACACGATTGATTGCACAGTAGAATTGGTTGTATCATTACTCCTCCACACTTTAACTGGTTCATTCTTTTCAAGAGTCTAACTGATGCATTCCCCTTCAAAGGTTTAACAAATTCATTCCCCTTCAACAGTCTAACTGATGCATTCCCCTTCAAAAGTTTAACAAATTCATTCCCCTTCAACAGTTTAGCTGATTCATTCCCCTTCAACAGTTTAATTGATTCATTCCCCTTCATACGGTAAATTTGATTCATTCCCCTTCAGCAGTTTCAGTCTAAGCGTAAAACTATTTGGCACTTTTTGATAAAATTTTATTTTATTTTTTATCTATATATTTCTTTGCTTGTCTGTCATGGCGTTTGTCTGTCCGTTTGTATCAAATAAACGTCAAAACGGCTGAACCGGTCGGGCCCAAATTTGTTGAGGGACCTCGTGTTACCCCAGGGAAGGGCTATGGATGATCGAATTTTCAAATATTTGACTCAAACAAAATTTGATTTGTGAAAAATTTTTAAATCCACGACATTTTTTTTAAAATCCGCAATAATTTTGTGTTTTATAGTGTACACTAAAGAGAAAATGTACACAATTGAAATAATCATTTATAGCGTAACTGATAAATATCTCCTTAAAGGAGATAATATTGTGAAAATCGGACAGTTCAAAATATGCTTTAACTCTAGAAAGGCTGGGGGGCCTGAATCTATCTATCCCGATAGAAAAAGGTTTGAACGTAAAGGTTTTTAATGGATCTGAGCTGAATAGCAATATTTTTCAAGCACAGCTCATTAAAAAAAAATTTGACCGCTGTTTTTAAGTGCTAGGAAGGTTTGAAAAAAATGCCAACAAAAAATATTGTTTTGTTGTTTTCGACACATGTTGACATGAGACGCATATTTCTACATCCATTTTTTAAGGGCTTTTTAAAATGTAGTTTTTAGATCTGTAGCATTAGGCAAAAAAAGCTATGGGATATTTTAGATTTCTTTAAACACAGACCAGACGTTTTACCGCTCCTTACCCTACATGTATAGATTCTAAATTCTTTAAATTACTATTTCTTAGAATTTAAGAAATATTAAGTGTCAAAAATGAGAGTGCTAGGGCAAAAAAGTTATAAAAAACATCTCATTAAAACGAAATCTAACTGCCGGAATCATAATATGTTAAATAAATATTTTATAAAATCATTGTTTTATTTAGATTTTGATATAATAAACACATGCGGTGATCTTAACATTGCAAAATGGCGTCTCCTCCACGCACTCTCCAACTACACCCATACCTCCAACCTTCATATATTCCTGGCCTCCACCCTCAACCCTCTCCTCCAACCTTCAGTCTCCAACCTAGGACTGGAGTTTTCCCAGGTTCAATATGTGTCCCCCCACTCTACCCTCACTACCCTTAGCAGGCTGGTTAGACAGATGGGTTGGAAACAGGTAAGAGATATTTTAAAGGAACTGTTAGCGAAATTAAAGTGACCCTCAAAGCAAAGAACCCAATGCCCGAATAACAACATCTAAAGCCTTCATCTCATCAATCATGTGGAAAATGACGAACTTTTTCTTTTTGAAAGTGTTTGCTTCTGATAATTTCGCTCTGTTTTCCTCCAGTAGAAATGCGCAAGTCACTTTTGTTATAGAGAAACCACATAATCAGCTTTCCAAATAGTTCACATTGATATCTAATTCATACTTGACCCGACAAGGCTTTTAAATGTACCTTTTGTGAATCGAGCATTGTCTTCTTTGCACGGAGGGTCATCTGAATTTACGCTTACAGTCCCTTAACAAAAATACTTTGTCATTTGCGTGATATTTACATAAAGGAACAGATCATTCTAATCATAATTTAATATTCTAATCACTATAATCTTTGCAACCAGAGTCTAAAACTAAAGAATGCGCGAATTTTAAGTTCAAGGTTTAAAGTTCTGTAAAATAATGAGTAGCTACTTAAATACTAAACTTTCTCAATTTTAAATTTGAATTTCCCGGGAAAAATCTGAACCAATCAGAGAAAAGGATTTACGGAGAATATTACATAACCATCGCTAATCAGCTGTTATTACGTAAACGAAAACAAAACATACAACCGTTTTTTGGGTTTACATCCAAAAATTTCTTTAATTCAAGGTTTTCACTTTTAAATATATCGTAAAGTTGAATGCCGCTTTATCAGCTGCAGCTGAATGATGATTGAATATAATAGACAAATAGGGAAAATGCAGGATATCAAGATAATTTAATCCTCTGTTTAGATTTTAACTCGTCGATTTCGGCGAGTTAAATATTTAACCACAGGGTTAAATATTTAACCTCACGGTTAAAGTTTAGGTTTAAATTAAGTCAGAAGTGGCATTTAACCATGAACTTAAAATTTAAGTCAAAACTTTTCGTTCTTTAGTTTTGGACTCTGTTGGTGTAAATCTTTGATATTGTAAGCTTTGACGATTTGATCTACAAGAATTCATAAGGTCAAATGTCATATTATAAGGTTTACGAGATCAGGTTGCAATGATAAAAGGATTAAAGAAAAAAATATCCATTTATAGTTAAAAAATAAAAAATCAATTCACATAAAAATATTCCAATTTCGACACACTGACGTACAAGTCAAAAAAGTACAAAAATGACAATTTCACAATAATTCTCTTTATTACTATATTTGTGTAGATTGAAACAATAAAAGTTAAATATGGGAAATCAGTGAACATTTCTAAATTATCTTCTATCTCTGCGGCAATCAGCTGTGAATCTTATTTTACTAAGAACATATATAAACAGTATAAGCGCCATATTAGCCTGGGATCCCTATTTCAAAACTTATTGTTATTGAAAATATTTCTTTCACTTGAAGGATCTGATTAGTCGACTCAGACCCTAATTGGTTAATCCTTTAAATCTTTGCCTCCTGATGCCGTACACCATTGATATATTAAAGTATGAATTCTGCTAGGTCATTCAGTCAAAGTTAAAATATCATCAGGTTGCAAAAATATAGGGATTCGATAATAACAGTTTGTGGCTTATAGTGTTCAGTTCCTTTATCAAACTATTTAATAACCGTATTTATAGGGATTCGATAATAACAGTTTGTGGCTTAAAGTGTTCAGTTCCTTTATCAAACTATTCCATAACCGTATTTATGAACTTTTAAAGACATACAATTTTGAGAGATGCACATTTAGGACAACTGAGATGTCATTAAATCTTAAAGACTATATAGACAGTTTTATTATTGTCACTATCGATACCGATGATTGTTTGACCCAAGGTACTAATGAAAGGAAAGTTAATTGCGGTCGCGTATACTCTGCGTACACATTGAAACCAGTACAAAAAATGCGTAAACCTCTCAAAGAACTGTCCTTGCCTTAGTATTTTGGTTTGACCCCTGTATCTCTAGGTCGTGGTACTGAGCAGTCCCGGAGAAGGGATGGATATTGGTGGATCTCTGCTCGGAGAAGATATTTGCGTGACACGAACCCTCCGGCTTCCGTCACAAGAGGATCCTAAGGATACATTCTCAAGGATTACAGAGTCTTTTAGGAACATGGTGGATCATCTTTGATCTTACTCAAAAGACATTTTTTCAAAGCATTCTTAGGTTTAGTTTTTTAAAAATGGAAATGTTCAGAAACTTCCCAAAAAAAGAGCCAGAATTTAGTTGCGTCACGTTGCTCAAAGAATTCTTTTAAAGTTTATAATCTAAGCTTGGATGTTTGGTTTTATCTAATGAACTTCAAAATGGCTGAACCGATTGAGCTCTAGACTTTTGTCTGTGGTATCTACATGACCCCCCCCCCCCCAGGAAAATGTTAAAATTGAAAAAGGAATTGAGCCGTTGGCACACAATCAAATGTTATAACCCCTTATATCTTTGCAACCCGAAAGGGCTAACCTTGGACTATTTGATCTAACAGAATCAAAGAGTATGAAATAGAAGGAAGATACAACTGACGCGGCCTGCCCTAGCATATGAGTATACATGCTTTGAAAACGGTACTACATTTGTATAAGAAATATTTGTCTAATGTACCATTACAGCGTATACAATAACCTATTCTGAATATTTCTGATACAAATGGAGTACCCGTCTGCAAAACATGTATAATCATATGGTAGGGCAGGCCGCGTCAGTTGTATCTCCCTTCTATCCTATACTCCTTGAACAGAATTCATAGTTTCACTCTCCACTAAACCCTACCATCTCTTCGGTCAGTGTGCTGCAAATTACTGCAGTACACACCGAAACCTTAGTTGAGGTTGGTTGGAAATATCTAAGGTCTACGACATTGAGTTGCAAAGATATAGGGATTAGAAAATCTGAGTAAATGGTAATCAATGAAAAAAGTCGCATTGAAAAGCCATATTTTAAAGCTGAAATTGTTACTGAAAAAGATACGTGAACATGAAGCTCCCTAAAAGCCTAGTATTGACAAAAGTATAATCTGTCTTCACATTATCATTAAAATCCAAATTAAAAAATTTCATTTAAATTTTTTTTTCATGTTTAAGAAAAACAACTCTGTGCTTGATTTGGTTGAATGAAAGTTTAACTCCGTGACAATTTCTCCTATGCATGGAGTTTCTATAGTAAACATCTAATATTGGAAAGTCAGAGAAAGAAATTTCCAATTCTATCCAGAATGAAAATAAAATCCGGAAAGCTTCGCGTTCCTTAATAATTCTACGATTATTAAATGTAATATTTGTCTTTTGTGATCTTCGATTAAAAATCTTATTCACCATTGTTTCACCAGATCTAACGAAGTTAAAAACGTTCTTCTCTCAGGGTTCGGAGCTGAGATCTCTAGGTTCATGAGAAACCTTCATGAGCTCAATATAAGGGTTGGATTACTAGCACTGCCTTGGGACGGACCTCTCTCCACCCTTGTGGGAGAACAGATGATAAACTCAACCATAATATCACTCCTTCCTAAGAACAGCGTGATGCCGGAGTTTAATAAGTTTTATAAAAAGTTTGCAGAAATATCCGAGGATGTTTATGACAATCCTCTCTCCTGGCAGTTAGTTAAAGCACTTTACGGAGTTCTTGTTCTCAATGATTCTACAATAGATGATACTACTGCTCGGGACGGGTTGGGGTTTAGCCGAGACGGGTTGGAGTACACTGTTGAAGAGTTTAACCCAGAGAAGAGGGTTTGGGAGAAGCTGGGAGTGTATGAAGAGGGTGAGTTCTCCTGGCCTCGGTCATATCAGGTTCAGGACGCATGTACAAGATGTATCTGTGAAAACGGACTCTGGAAGGATGGAGCTAGATGGAGATGGGAAAGTTGGGTAACAGCTCTTGCAACCCTGGCAGGACTTGGGATTCTTTGCAGTCTGGCAATATTTGTATTTCTGTGTGCACAGTGTGGAGAGGTTTTAGAAGGAGCACAATCCACATCCTTCCTTCTCCTCTCCGCTACTGTCATAACCTTTGCTTCAATGCTCCCCTACTGTTTCCAACCTGGAAACCTAACCTGTATTCTCCGAACCCTGGCTCCGGCAGGTTCTCTCACCTTTCTAGTCTCCATCCTACTTTCTAGATCTCTACTCCTGGCTACCTCGGATACAGCAGGACTACCAGGACATGCTAGTGGTTGTCTCCAAGTTATCCTTCTCTTACTCATGCTAGGAGTAGAGGTGAGTATCCTGGGTCTAGATTCCTGGCATCTCCGGGGTAATTATCTAAACCTGGAGACCTGTCATCATCGGAGCTGGGGTTGGTTGGGTATGCTAGCCTGGCCTGGAGTTCTCCTCCTGGTCCAAACCTTCCTGTCTCCTGGCATATGGAGATCCAGGAGGAATTACAAGGAAGGAGTTCTCTTTAGTCTCTCAAGCGTAGCGGTCACCATAGTCTCAGCAGCCTGGGTCACTGTATATATTCTCTGTGCAGGTATTTGTTATTTTGTTATGTATATATACAAGGTTTAAGATTTTAGATTTTAGATTTTAGATTTTAGATTTTAGATTTTAGATTTTAGATTTTAGATTTTAGATTTTAGATTTAGATTTTAGATTTTAGATTTTAGATTTTAGATGTTTCAGTCTTAAAAAGTTCTATCCTTATCGGAAACCAAGTCCTGCAAATATCTCATAATTCTCTGTTCCTAATCTCAAAATCATGTTCTTTATCTCAAAATTTAGTTATTAGAGTCATAATCTTAGATTTCAATCTACCTCCCCGGCCCCCGACATGCTTTCGATGTCATGGTACCATGAAGTTATATAATAATCATAATAATAATAATCATGATCATAATCATAGTAATCATAATAATATATATAACGATAATCCTAATGACAATATTAAATGCCTGAAGTTGATTTAAAATAAAAAAGATAATATCATGCAATGCTTTCTATGGCATCTTTTTTCAATCTTTGTTTGGATTTTATTTAAATTCTTTTATAACCTCCTTTTCAATCAAGCAAATCAATTCAAAATATCATTTTGAATTTTGCATCGTACTTTAATATTAATCATGATCATTAAGCATAACGTGTGAACCTAAAACTAAATCTAATTTTATTAATTTTAATGATATAAAGCAATTTAATAAGGTGAACCTATAATTATATAAAAGTTTTAATGCTTCGCAGTAAATCTTTTGGAATAGTTAATTCTAGAAGTGCCACGATTATAAAAATTAACTTTAGATAGAAAACCTGAAGATCATCTCTTGCATCGCTGATTAAAAATTGGTTTAGAACTGTATGGCGCTGAATGGAAAGATATATGTCTGTATATATTTAGAACTGTATGGAGCTGAATGGGAGATATATATTTGTATATGTTTAGAACTGTATGGAGCTCAATGGGAAGATATATCTGTTTATATTTATATCTGTATGGAGCTGAATGGGAAGATATATCTGTATATGTATAGAACTGTGGAGTTGAATGGGAAGATATATCTGTATATGTTTAGAACTGAGTGGAGCTGAATGGGAAGATACATATCTGTATATGTTTATTACTGTATGGAGCTGAATGGGAAGATATATCTGTTTATATTTAGATCTGTATGGAGCTGAATGGGAAGATATATCTGTATATGTTTAGAACTGTATGGAGCTGAATGGGAGATATATATCTGTATATGTTAACGTGTTTAGAACTGTATGGAGCTGAATGGGAAGATATATCTGTATGTGCTGGTTTAGTTTCAACTGGAACAGTTATTCTTCTTGTAATATTTATACCAAAGGTAATACATTAATTTACAACTTTTAAATAAAAGAAGCAAGCTTTTCTAATCCCTATATCTTTGCAACCCAATGTTGTAGACCTTAGATAATTCAGACTATAAATTCTGTTAGACCAATTAGTATAAGTTTGAAATATCACAGGCTTAAACCATCTTTTTATGATGTTTTAACCAAATCTAACAAAATATTGGAGAAAATTGAAAATCGTATTTAAAAGAAAGACTCAGTTTAAACTCTAATGTTCTAATCCCAATGGATGCACCCTGATGTCGTAAATCTTTGATATTAATAAATCTGAATTCTGGTTCTGCCAGATCAAACAGTAAACATGACCTGACTAATAACATTCCCGTGGTTCTACGAGTTCCCTAATCAAATTTTGAGGCAAATCGGTAAAGAGGTTGTTATGATCGGACATACAAACAAACAGAGATTACTACTTAAACCTTGTTTTTATCAATATTTCCTATATGAAGGAGGAGAGGGCTGAGTAAAGGGAATCTTTAAACTAAATAAATTGACAAAACAAATTCACCCAACCTCAACATGAAATATTCGTTAATCAATTTTATTATTAAAATCAGTTAAAAAAAATTTTATTTGATAAAACTCTAAGATAAATAAATAGTAAATCCATTGAACTTCCTGAATCCACTTATATTTTTATCAATTAATCAAATAATTTTCAACTTTAAATGTTAACGTTTTTTTTTAATTTTATTATTATAATTATTCTCCAGGTCTACTTGATGACGGTTTGGGGGTCTGGAGGTCATGAATTAAGCCTCCAACTACCTGGAACAACTACCTCTACCCTCCACACCGATACCCTGGATTATATACCCAACAACTCTATCTATAAAACCCCAATAGATGAGAATACTGTTGCCTACGTAAACCTAAGGTCTAGGGAGTCTAGTAAACCCGCCTCTGTTCACTATGGTTCTGCGTACATCATGGGAACCAGGAACCTTATGGACAGTAAACAGAACCTCACCTATCAGTTGGATAGGAATACGGAACCTGCTGATAATATCAGCTGGGAACCATTTAATTCGAATTCTAATTATATGTCCCATCCAACTCTGCCAATTTCCCAGCCTACTGGTATACCCTCCACCAGACTATAATCTGGTATAACCTCCACCAGACTATAATCTGGTATACCCTCCACCAGACTACTATCACCCAGCCTACTGGTATACCCTCCACCAGACTATAATCTGGTATAACCTCCACCAGACTATAATCTGGTATACCCTCCACCAGACTATAATCTGGTATACCCTCCACCAGACTATAATCTGGTATAATTTAACCTCACGGTTAAAGTTCAGGTTTAAATTAAGTCAGAAGTGGCATTTAACCATGAACTTAAAATTTAAGTCAAAACTTTTCGTTCTTTAGTTTTAGACTCAGATGCTGTAAATCTTTGATATTTCAAACTTAGATTATTTAATCTAAAGGAATTCATAGTTTTAAAAATCTAAGATTTACGACATTGTGCAGATTCAGGGGTTATAAAATCAGAGTTTGTGACAAAGACTCAATTCTTTCTTTGACGATTCCATTTAAAGTTCAAATGTAATTTTTCAGACATATAATTTTGTCGTTATGTATGGTTAAACACAAATCATAATCCATGCTTTTAAAAGGGACTGTAAGCGCAATTTTAAGTGACTCTCCATGCAAAGATGACAATGCCCTATTCACAACGGTACCATTAAAAGCTATGTCTAAACCAGTATGAACTAGGTATGCATGTTTTTGTTTCACTGCAAAAGTGACTCAAGAGCATTTCTTGTTTTTAAGAACAATGAAAAAATTCACAGAACTAAACATTTTTTAAGTCAAATCAACACATTTTTTGATCAGATAAATATTTCGAGGGTACTGTTGTAAATCGGGCAATGATTACATTGTATGGAGGGTCATTTAAAATTACGTTTACATTCGAGAAACGAAACTTTTAAATCACGCTTTTTTATATTGTGTACACTATTTATAAAAAAGGTGAATCTATCTAAATTTTCTCTTGTGGATTTTAAATCTTTATATCGTTTTCAAAAAATGCCTTTAAAACTAATCTTAAATATCAAGTGAATATTATAAACCAAAAAAAAATAATGATTTCTTTTTCCTTCTTACGTGCTCTACACTTATCTGTTAAATCTATAATTTAAAATGTAAAACTTAAAGTTTTTGTTTGGCAATTTTTGCTGATTACTCCCAACAAACTGTAATTTTTCTGATTCCTATATCTCTGCAACCTGATGGTTAAATTAAAATTTTGTAAACTTTGACTGTTTGAGCTGACGTGATCAATTGTGTGAAAGCGTCTATAGATATAAAGATTAGAAAATTGATCAACAATTAAAGAAAATTATATAAATACTAGGTTTGAGAATGATCCTGGAATCATTTAATAAAAAAAAAATAAAAAAATTGCATTTAAATTGTATATTGTATATATCTATATATAGATATCTATTTATCAAGAGCTTATTGTATTAATTGTATGTATCTTAATTGTTATTGTATAATAAATAACACATATTCTAACCTTCTTAAACCAATATCTTTGAAACCTGTTGGTATACACATATTTCAAACTTTGACTATTGATCTAGCAGAAGTAGTTTAAAATATTTATCTATATGATTACTCTCTCACACAAAAATCAACCATTTGCCAATAGGTCTGGGCTGTTCCTATTTTTTTAAACCGTTCGTTTCTTGTTCTAGAATATAGGCCTTCAACTGGGGATACTTCGTTCCTTGTTCGTTCTATTTCCAATCGTTCCATCCCCGTTCCGTTCTTTGTGTTCTTCGTGGATTATCATTCACTATAAACAAGGGCCTTCAGCAAAAATTGACATGTGACAATGTCACATGTCAATATTTGTAAAAAATCAAATAAATATTTTTCAAAATTTTTCCGACATAAGTTTTTTTTAAAAACCTCCCCTGCATGCACCTTTAATAAAAAAATGATGGTGTGCCCCCCCCCCCTCCTCCCTCCCCCCAAAATCTATAAACTTTTGTAAAGGAAATTAAATCTTAAATTTCTTACTTTTTAAAATTTTACGGAAAACATTAAGAGATTGTTAGCTAAATTAGACATCCCGGTTAAAAATGGAAAAAGAGAAGAAGGGGGGATGGGAGGGGGGGAAATATATTTACATATGAATAGGGTTCCCAGCGAACGAAAATTTTCAGTCGCATTTCGCAAATATTTATGTTTGTGTTAATCCAGCAATTGGGTGGACGGATAAATCCCGCTTTGAAAATAGTATTCTCAAAATTGTCTTTTTTGCTGAATTTTTGCTAAAATGTTTCATTATTTTTTTTATTCTGGTTTTTTCGCGAACTTTAATTTTTTGTTTGCATAATTTTCATTTTTTGCATAGTTTTCGCATTTTTTCGCGCAATTTTCGCATTATTTTTTCGCGAAATTGTTGCATTATTTGTTTTCTCGAAATTTTCGCGAAACGATTTTTCCTTTTCGCTGGAAAATCCTACATATGAACTTAAAAAAATTTAAATATCCATTCAAATAGATTCCAGTCTTCATCTCAATCTTGTTGACTTGTGAGCTATGAAAAGGTAAAAAGGTCAGCAGGTAAGCTAGACATCTGCTTGGTTTACAATTACCATTCGACGTTCCACATTCTTTAATTTATAGAATGTTCCCATATACAAGAATATGTGTTCTTTCTTTGCGTGTAAGGGGAGTCTGATTGTCATAATTATCATCACATATCGCTAGCAAGCAGCAACTAATCTTCGTTCTATTCCTTTGAAATTCAACTTTCAACTAGTATGTCTTCAATATTTGTAAACAAAGCCCCACAAATTTGTACAGAGTACAAATATACTTGCTGCAAACCTTTACATTCAATGTTCTGTATGCAGTATCTAGTACCATAGCTAAATTGCCATTCTCAATTTCAACTGTAACTGGTATGGTGAAGACGACATAAACGATCTTTATTCTTATTTCTATGATTGTTCCATTATTTTTATCGTTCCTAATTATTAAGTTCATTCCTCTGTAAAAGAATTATCGTTCCCCAGGAACGACGCCTGCAGTCAAATACTCATTTTAACTTGAAACAAAAAAAAGCTCCAAAAATGTATTGTACACGTACCTATTGTCTATTCAGAAAGATCGAACATTACTTCTGGTCCGCCCATCCAGAAAACATATGGTTTTAGGTGAACAGATAATGTGACAGAAAATATGAAATTGAAGATTTAAATTTTTGTATTTCCCTGATTTTCTTTACGGAATATAAAACGTCTACTATTAAGCAATACTTAGAACTTACTTAAATCTAAAACAATGACGTGAGATGAAGATTTTCAAAGTACGTTCCCTTAAACTTAATTAACTGTTTAAAAGAAATAAATGTTAAATTTTGCAGGTGTACCATGAATACGTATCAAACTATACCAGCATAAATTCACAACATAAAAAAGTTTTTTAGAGGTGTGAATTTCTGCTTTTATTACAGCTGGTTTCGCATAGAAGACGACATTAGGTGACGACTTTTAAAATACAAGAATTAAACGAATGATATATCAGTAGAACTAAATGCCGATTTTCGTCCAACGTACAATTGCACTAAAGTCGGCTGTTCACAAACCGGATTGTAGTCCATTTGAACATTATTCCATGTTTAAACAAAATCAACATTCAACACGTTCAATTAAACTAATATTATATCCTTTTCCCGTCACCCAGCTAGCAAAATAAAACGATTTCGTTTATACCGCCTCATTTATACGACAGACTTCGCCAGAGTTGGGCGGAGCTACGATCATCATGTAGAATTGATAGTCTAAAATTAAGGTTACGACGCAGAAAAATAACACAACCTTTTAATGTTCATGTAAAATCTCTATTATAGCAGACGTAATTGTAATTTGTTTCGAAATAAGGTATTACAATACTAATCCTTAATAAAGACGATCTCGAATTCGTCCCTGAATTCTCATGTTTATTGGGACACCCGGATTGGTAATCACCCAGGTTGCACTAAACAAATATGTGAACCATACCCCTCAAATTTACCCTGTTGTAAGGTCGTCTCCGACAAACTGTATCTCCGTTGAACCCTCCGTCCACTTACCAAACCAAACCTTTTCAAGGCTTTCGAGTAATATAAACAAAACCTCATGGAACTTAACGTGCATTAAAAGAACCATTTTAAACTTAATTTTCAGTGAATCATTTACAAATAAACAGTGAAATTACTTTAACCAGTTAAATATTTATTTCAGAAGATCTAAATTGCTTTAGACATCAGTTCAAACAACTTTTCGCCGCCCTACAGTTTTCTAGATTGTAAGTTCCGTATACTTAATTCACAACAATATCTTAAGCCTTCTATTTGCCAATTCACAACAGTACCCTTTTAAACTTTTATTTATCGATTGACAATATTAATAAAATACGATCCACAAACCTGCAAAACCTAGAGTTTCCTAAACCTACTAAACCTAGAGTTTCCTAAACCTAAAATATACATTTTCAAGAAGTTGTTCTCATCTATGTATGGCCGGTAGAAAAGAGTGTTTCCCTAGCCTATTCACCTTTGGATTTGTCATTCTTTGAGTTACATATCCCCTGCTTCAGTTCATCCCGCTTCGAGCAATATTCCTTTTGATCGGCTCACAAAATATTCTGTGATTTATGGTCATGGTTAAGTCAAAAAATTGTAAAAATGAAGTTCATTATTGAAATTCCAACTTGCATATCTCCCCCCTCCATCCTTCTTTTTGATTAACCATATATATATATATATATGTATATCTATCTGTTATAATGAATATTATAATTCTGATTAATTATTATCTGGAATCATTATGAAGATATAAATACTGTGTTGTCGCAAAGGTTGCCAAACTCATAGGTAATTATTTTTTCTCCAAGACAGATTAGAGCAGGGACAAAAGGGAGAACAGAGAGAACAGGGAGAACAGGGATAACAAGGAGAACAGAGAGAGCAGGGAGAACAGAGAGAACAGGAAGATCAGGGAGAACAGAGAGAACAGAGAGACCAGGGAAAAAATAGAGAACAGAGATAACAGAGAAAATAGGGAGAAAAAACAGGGAGAAAAACAGGGAGAAGAGTGAGAACAGGGAAGAACAGAGAGAACAGAGAGAACAGAGAGAAAAGAGAGAACAGCGAGAACAGAGAGAACAGGGAGAACAGAGATAACAGCGAGAAAAGAGAGAACAGAAAGAGTAAAGTAAAAAGTAAAGTAAAGTAAAAAATTATTTATTAATGAAATATAAAAAA